TACTATTATATAATGAATGTTATTATGACTACATTAATATTTTAATGATCGGCAGCCAAAAAATTATCCACTGTATCATAGTAAAATTTGTGTTACGTATACTCTACCCTTAAACGGATTTCCCTTTTCATTACGTGCATAATTTGTAGGTAAAGCCTGGATTTCTCCCCTAGATATACAGAATAGTTATTAATATTTGAAAAATACCTTCAATACAAATGTAAATAAATGATCTACCAAGCATTTTTAATCCTATCAGAAGTAAATATTCCATGAAATAATGGAAATGCTGTACTCATTTTTAATTCTTCCTCAGTCATCATTCCTTGAAAACTATATACATCACTTTTTCTGTATAGCAATATAGAGTCAGAACACTATAACCAGATAATAAATATAATCAAAAAAACTTGTACATACATAAACTGAATGTTGACATCCAATTTTCTAATACCGTCAAACTTTTTTTTGCAATTACTATCAAAATATTCTCGTATATGGGGCGTGGAAAATAGAAACAGCCCTAATACTAACTGCAAAATCTCGATTTTGAGAAAATCGGAAAAAAAGATCTACATTTCAAGTAATTTACTATTGTTTTTAAAAACTTTAACAGAAAATATCTCAAAATTTTACTAAGTAAAGTGGGTATTGTTTCTAAGCTAAAATTAATTCCAGTGGCGAATTACATATAAAAATGTCATTAACTCAAAATCACAATTTTGGTAGTTAGGGCTGTTTCTATTTTCCGCGCCCCATATTCTCTTCTGGAGGTATTGTTTTCCAGGAAATTTTGTTGGTAAAGTCTTGTGATAGTCGCATTATATCCTCTTCTGTGAGCTGTTTACAATCATATAAGCTTTCCCCAGTTAAATCCAGAACCCCCCAGTATGCAGGACTATTGAATGAAAATGGAAATGATAGAATATATCAATAATTGGAATAATCAGACCATTACTAAATGACATCAAACTTACGTAAAAATCTTACAGGTTTTTGGTATTGTCTTTTGATATTTATGAAAAGCTTCAATGATACCCGCATCCATATTTTTTAGTTGATCCTATTTAGGATAATATAATGAGCCTACTGAATATATATTCCCAACTGTTAACATTAAGGCTTACCTTTGAGATGCTATTACCACTTGTTTGTGGCAATATGTTCTCTTGCTCAAGTACTTTTTCATCAATACATTCCACAAGGGCATCTTCATTTGATTCATCAAATAATAATGACAATCCTTCATAATCCAGCTCATCATCATCTCTTTTTCTTTTCAAATTATCTTTACAGGCTGACTTTCCATTCTCTTGAGGTCCTTTAACCTTTTCTAAACTAGTGTCTTTGGAATAGGTATTAGCGACATTGTCATTTCTTATCTATTTAATGGAAAAAATTATATAACTATCAACATTTTCACTTTCCGATCTCTTTTTTGAAAAACCTAAATCAAAAATTAATCATTGTTTTCTTAAAAGTGCTTATTTTGTAACTTACATTAAGAGGATTTATGTTGTTTTCTCCTGTAAGTACACGGCTTGCAACAGAATAATGATGCTGTGCCTACAGTATATTAAAAATGAACTAAGAAACCAATAAATAAATGATTATACATCATCACATAATATTTACTTGAAATTCATGAATCATAATGGAAGTGTTCTTTTCAATTTTATCAAGTTTTTCAATGTGCATTTCTTCTTCCCAAAAAAGATATATTTGACCACCTTTCTGTGAATCAATCCAGGAAAGTAGTTAGAAATTATACATAATTGCGATGTGGTTGCAGGGATTGTAGCAGGAGTACTGTGCAGGAGACATAGTCCCACGGGTCCCTACAATATCTTAAACCAGCATGAATGGTCTGTAGCAGGAGTACCGTGCAGGAGACGTAGTCCCATGGGTCCCTACAATATCTTAAACCAGCATGAATGGTCTGTAGCAGGAGTAACATGCAGGAGATGTAGTCCCACGGGTCCCTACAGCCATTATATCCTTACTTGAAATTGTTTCTTTAGATATCTCACCTTCTCCTGTTCACTTTCGACCCCGTTTGCTATTAACCATTTGACTTGTTCATTAAAAGCTCTTGTTACCATTGCTTTATCTGGTTTAACTGATATGATACTTTTCCAAAAAATATGATGGCCTAGTGGATCCCAATCGCATACCAAAGTTTGAGCAAAGTAATCAAACCTGTCTTTTTCAGAGATATCAGACATCAAAAAGAAAAAAATTTTTTGCAAAAAAGATCAGCAGGAAAAAGTCTATCATAAATTGTGTTACACACTAAAAATAATAATTTGTGTAAAATATTATTACAAGAGAATATTGGTAAAAATCACCTTTTTAAAACTTCCAAATCATGAATCTGGCCACTTTGTGTCTGGAAAGCTAAAAATAAAAAACATATGGATAAAAGCCAAAAAAAACGAATGTACATAAGCTAATCAATCGAATTTTGGTTAATCTCACAAATAAACATGCATGAATATTACATTATTATTGTCAGGTGGTTGTACGCATTGAAATTCTAAAATAGCAGAGCTAATGTCCCTGAAGGACCCCGGAAACTTCTAATTGAGGTCCCAGGCAATTTGAAAGGTTTTACATATTAAATTTACCCAAGATTCTATTGGATAATTGCGAAAATCACCACCATAAACAACCTAGATCATCAACATAACCACGTGGTATCACAAACCCACTGCTCATCTTATACTGTTATAGTAGGGATTTTCAACCCTATACTATTAAATTTACCCAGTTAATAGTAGTGACATTTTTCACTTTTATATATGTTTTTTACCCTTGGTTTGTTTGCTTGGGACCTCTGTCCCTGACACATAATTTTTGTTGCACAACCCATTAAAATGTCATGTAACATATTAATCAAATTATCTGATCAATTATAGAGTATCGAAAATTTGAATTTCTTCTATAATATACACATCAGAAAATAATATTATCCTCACCTTGTAAGAAAAATAAAGTCAAATGTTATATGAACTCCCGATTTTTATGAAGAAGTTACGATCAGGGAATTTATCTTTTGGGGAAAATTTTATTTCAGCCGTGCTGGTTCCACCAATGCATTAGAGGTAAGTATACGCTTATTTATTTGAAAACTAGATCGTGGAAGATCAAAATTATGGATTAAACGAGAGAATATCATGATTTTTTATTTTAATATTTGATAGTTATATATTTAATGATATTTAATATAGAAAAATAGAAAAATAGAAATAAACGCGAGCTTGCATGGGAGGAATGCAAAAGCGCATATAATGCACGACTCCAAGGCCATGTAATGTGCATCCCTGTACTTTGGGCTCGTGATTATTTAGTACTAGTACTAGTAATTATAAGATTATTATTTTTATTTCTACCACTACTACTACTACTAACGAACTTGTCTTTCTTTTTCCCTTCTTTATCGACCCAAGCTTCGATTTTATCTAATGTTGTAACATGCAGTTTTTTTTGGTGGCAATAAAATCCAGATAACGTTGCAGGACCAAGTCTAATTTCTTCAGATAAGACATTATACATTGTAGTGGGGGAACGCCCTTCTCTTTTTCTTCTCTTGTTGAAGAGGTATGTAAATTCAACCCAGGTAGCCTTGGTTCCATCTGAATATTCCAATATATGGCTTGTAATAGAGGCACGCCCTGTAATGTTAGACTTGTTAGTATAAATTCTGGAATGAGTGAGTACACTTGCATTGTAAGATAGGTTATCAGGCACGTAAGTGCCATTGCTTTGCAATAAATTTACCTAGACTCTGTGTTTCACTTTTCCATTCTGATTCTGTGCGCATTTTACTGATTTCATTATTGAGCGCTAAAATAGCTTTTTCAATATTTTTTGTAGCTGGATCCACGCTTTGTTGCTTATACGAGATGCGCATAAATATCATGATTACATATGGTGCGATGAAAATCAAAAAGAAAAAAACATGAATTATATCGATAGACATTTTTAAATAGATTTTTAAATAGATTTTTGATCATTTTTTTTAGGTGTTACAGTTATGAAATAGAAGTAGAGAAGTTGACTTATCTTGTATTTATATATTTTTCCCCCATCATCAAAACATTCTGAGAATAATGATGACACATTACAGAAGATGTGTAATATTAGCATGAATTACATTTGTGCTAAAAGACAATTGTGTTGATCCATATAACAAAATCTCCTATACCGAATTGGATTTGACGCTAGGTAGATTTTATTATTATTATTATTATTATTATTATCATTATTATTACTATTAAATAAGTATATATGGTAATTTTCCTCTGCAATGATTGTGGAGAATAAAATACAATAACTAAATGAACTTGCGTAATGATTTGTTCAGATAACTTTTTACATATGCTAATTTTATATGGATGATCCAGTATATTATTGCAGATCAGGCCCAGATGGGACAAGTCTAAAGACTTATGGCACTTATGTACTTGACATATATTAATTAAGTATTTTTATATGAGCGATCTTGACAACATTTCTTGTTTTTTTTATCAAAGTAGGAAGTTAATACATCTATTATTCGAATAAGTGAAGCTTAGTGTTTTTTTTTGACACATAATAATAAATTATAATATTATATTATATATTTGACTGAAAAATCATGTGCACCGATCACTTTGGCAAGAAAAAATCAAATCAGAATTAATCTGAATTATTATCGGATATATAATCTAACACCTTGTGCTTTCTCTGCTAAATTTGTACATTTACACGGTATTTTCTGCATTAAATATATTATTTTATTATAATAAATATGATAAGTAATACTAATAATAAATCTGGTCAAAGTGAAACACTTGCTCAAGTATCACTATCCAAAGAATCTGACTTCACGAAATATATCAATTTTCAATGTAAATATATCAACCATCATTATGGGTTAAATAAAGATTTTAGCAAATACATATGTAAACTTGATAAGTCGGTCATGTGGGGGTGAGCTCATATGGCTGACTTATCGAGTAAACTGACTTATTGAATTAAAGTACTTAAATATTAAGGGTAGAGTGTAGTCATGTGATTTTTCATAACAACTGAAAGGATAAATTTTTTACAGTGACAATCATTTTCTT